AAAAATGGAGATTTCTAGCAGCAGTGGGAACGCCTTAGACTCGCATCAGTGAGGCAGCGAGGTAGATCCATTATAAAGCAGACCTCCCTCGTCAATTCTGTGATAGACGAGCTTTCTTGACAGGTATTGAAATAACCTCGGGCGAACATCAGCAGACGCCTGTTGCTGTATCTTACCGTTGCAGGATTAACATAACCAACAAGCTGTCATGTTCTCCAATGAGCAACATCAATCAGGTTCAGACTATGTCTTGTCAAGCTTATCTGAAGCTTGTTATTTTTCTGTATTTTGTATGTATTCTACAGCTCCAGCAATTAGTCATGTCAGCTGTATGTTACCTATTCGTTAGCATTTCTGAATGGCCAAGTTGGAAAATAAATTGTAGCCACAGCCCCCGAGGCTAAATCATTTCCCTCCCTGCCAGAGTCGGAGGAATGTGTTTTCATCACCAGTCAGAAGTGCGTTCATGATAAATGAAGATGAAAGTTTTCGAGGTGAAGCTGATGCTTCATGTGAGACTCCATTGCTTCCAAAGTCTATTCAGTGTCAGTTATCTGGTCTCTCTCAGCAGCTTGCGTCTTCATTGCGCCCACTAAGGTGAAGTTAATTCTGTCTTTGTGCAAGAAGTCCACTCTTCATCATTTTTTTGTCATTTGGCTAGACAGCAAAACAAGCTGCGCATGCAGTCATGCAGAGGGTGTTTTGGTATCGTGAGCAGACAGCCGTGCAGCCCGACGGGTCAGTCTTTATTTTTTTGGTGGGTGCTGCTGCTGCTGCTGCCGGCTGGCTGGACAGCTAGCTAGCTTTAAGATAAACAGTAAGAAGCAACTAGCTCCAAGAAGAAGAAGAGAGCATTTTGCTGAGTGTTAAACTTTGTTTGTGTCTGACTCTTTCTTGGTGATAAGAATGGCGATCATAGCAAAAGCTAACTACAGTACAATGCAGAGTGAGCAGGGGAATTTTAGGAACGTGTACCGTTTTGATCCGTGACACTTCTGAACTGTAGACTGAAGCCACTGTTTCTTGGTTATTATACACGTTTCGGATTAATGTAATATTGTTTTTGCACACTTTTCAGGGAGTAACAGCCCAATACAAACTAACAAATACAAATTTTCTGCACTCACAATCCACTGCACTGGGCGTGGCCGTTGCCCTCAGGATAGAATAGTTGCGTCTGTTTGTGTGTGAGAGATGAAGATTGTTAAACAAGTTATCTTTGTTACCTTGAACTTTGATCAAAAACAAAAAAATGGGATTAATCAAAGTTCTTTTGTTCCTCCCAGCATGCAGTTGTGTTTGTGGCGCTGGCCCCAGTGCTGCACCAGGATCTAAAGGCCCCCTTAGCAGCTCTGTGATGCACTCTGTCATGAAGCTGGCCTCAGGGGTCGCCCCAGATAACAGCCCTGTCCAGAAACTATCCTTCTGTCTCCTGGCTAACCTCGCCATGTCCCGCGACTGCAGATGCCTCCTGCAAAAGGTACAAGCGCGGTGCACAGTGCACACAACACTGTGTGGACCAGATATACTGTACAGAAATGTAGCGGAACAAGACGAGTGTCTGATTGCTAAGTGACAGAAGCTTAGACTTTAGTGATGATTAGTTTTGTCGGCTATGTGAGATATGAAGAATATCAGTTATTTCCCCTAAATGAGGCATAACTTCTTTTAGAATGTATCTGCTCACATGATCCAGTTCATCAACTGGCTGTGAAAAACTAATTCACAAGATAAGTGTGATATGCCGCGTTACAAAAGTTTAGAAGATGCACGGTGCTTGCTATTAATAAACATGTGCACTTAGCTTCTCGCACTTAGCTTCTCCAAAATCTCGCCCTCACACTACGCTGGCTGGTGAAAGATTTTTCTAAACTAGGGAGCAGCTCTTAATGATCTGTCCACATGATGCTAATTCCCTGCCTGCTTTTTTTTTGTCATTCTCAGAATAATTTCCTGCAAGCCTTCCTGTCAGTGCCAATGCCCAAGGCGGGTGGTGTTAAGGCCACATCCATAGGTGGTGGTGGTGGTGGTGGTGGTGGGGGGGGCCTGCTGGGCCTGTGGCTGAGGCTGCTGGTCAGTCTCTCATTCGCAGAGGACGGCCAGCAGAGTATCTTTAGAGTGACCGGAGCCCTGGAACTGCTGGCAGACCTGGCGCCACAGCGGCGCCACGCACTTCTCACCCTTCACAACCTCTGCTTCTGCCCTGCCAACAAGCCACATGTCATTGCCAATGGTATGGACGGGAGGCAGGGGTATGAAAGTGGGGAAAAAAGGAGATTTGTTTTGTTTTTTATATATCAATGTTCATGGGGCCAAAGTTCTGTGGAACAGATCTTGCTTCTGTGAAGACAACAGACCACAGTGGGGAGTTAACATGCACCGAGTGTGTGTGTGGGGTCATATTTCTGGTTTGGCAATCTGATCGCATACAAAATGTTAATTGTTCAATCTGCTTTTGCCGTCGCTCAGATTGAAGGCAGACAAAAAGAGAATCAAAGCATTTGATATTAAAATACGTAGCTCAACATTTTGGTAAAAGAAATTCATTTAAATATGTAGGAGGAATTCTAGACGGTGTAAGAAGATTAGTGATTCTAAGACCTTTAGATGAACAGAGGAGACTAAAGAGAGTGTGTGTGTGTGTGTGTGTGTGTGTGTGTGTGTGTGTGTGTGTGTG